ACTGTATATGTTTATATCTACACACTATCGCACAGGATTATATATTCAAAATTGAGTATTCTGTACTTTGAAGCCAACTTTGACCAAATGCAACTTTCACCTTGTGCCTTGGAACTTACACCCTCTGCTCTCGATACTCCTCCATCCAATCCCTGATCTGAAGGAGTCAGACAAGGGTCCTTGCCATGTATAATGCTCACTTTAAGGACGCATAGTAAGACACTGTTTGCACTCACCCACCTGTTTGACCCAGGCAACCTTCACTGTAACTGTCACCTCGGACTTGTCCATTAGATACTGCATTAATCCTGTATAAATGAAACCAAGATCAGGGTCTCCGCCTCCAAGAGGAGACTACCCACAACATCAGATTACCAGATACAAGTCAGAGTTCCTCAAGTTCAAGGTTAGGGTTCATATGACCTTAAGTAAGTCCCTTCAATCAGATACCCTCTAAAGCAAGTCCCCAAACAGCAGAAGCAGCATCACCTAGAAAGTGGTTAGAAAGAAAATTCTTCGGCCCCACCCAAACTTACTGAAGCAGAAACTCTGGGAATGGGGCTCAGCAATCTGAGTGCTAACAAGTCCTTTCCATGATTCTGATACTTTTTTAAATGTGAGAGTGGAATTCTTAAAATAGTCAATTATATCTCAATTTTTAAAAATTCTCAAAATTTTATCTTGCTAAGACTGGGACAGTCTGTAGCTGGGGCCTATCTAGTTTTCCATTTGTACATATCAGACATACTCAATGCAAAGATATTCCAGTGGTAAAACCTGTTTTTTTTTTCAATTCCTTATAGGTGCTCCAAAGGTAAAATGCCTTTCATTGACTTTCACAGAGCACCTCTCTAAACTGAGATGGCCTTGCCTTCTTGAGAAGTATCCTTTGAAAAAATGTTAAATGTTTAAAACGGGAAAATGTTTATAATATACCAAGTTAAACGGTTAAACATTACATACCTATTACACACACCACTGGAATGTAAGCTCCACAAGGGCTGGGGCCGTGTCCACCTTGTTGCCCACTTTTATCCTCAGCGCCCAGCACAGGGCTCGACACAGGGCAGGTGTTTGATAAAGGTGTTACAAATCTGAACCTTAACTTTTTCACAATAATATAAAGTCTTAATTCGTTCCAATCTAAATTTTAGAATGACCAAAATGGTCATAATTATTTTTAGTGACCTCTATATTAACTCAATTACTTGGCACATAAAATATAGTTTAAAACAAGCTTCATATTTTTTAAAATGCAGATGATCCTAGGTTAGTGGTGCTTAGTTGTTTCTTCTTGCTGAGCCATCTGAACAAACTCTGTAACTTCCTGTCACAGCCATGACCCTGACCTGTCAGTCTTAACTGTTCAGCACATTTTCAAATGATCTCTACTTGTTCTCTGTTATTACTAGTTTTACATGTAATCTCAAATTCACAGAAAAGTTCTAAGTACAGGTCAAATAAATCTTTTCCCGAAATATTTAAAAGCTGTCAACAGGATGCCCCACAACCCCAGCAACTGCACTACCTACAAACGAGACATACAATTATATATATTTCCCACAAATGAGACATTTCTACAGAACCACGACACGATCATCAAAATCAGGAAATGAACGACGATTCATTACCACTGCTATTATTTAATCTTCAGAGCGTATTCAAGTTCCCCACTTGCCCCAATAATGCTCTTAATAGCAAAAGGATCCTGTCCAGCCCTGACTGGTGCGGACCAGTGGACTGAGTGCCGTCCTGCAGGGTCGCTGGTTCAACTCTGGGTCAGGGCACACGCCTGGGTTTCGAGCCAGGTCCCCAGTTGGGGGTGCGTGAGAGGCAACCTCACACTGATGTTTCTCCCCTCTCTTACTCCCTTCCTTCCCCTCTCTCTAAAAGTAAATAAAATCTTTAAAAAGGAAGGGAGGGAGGGAGGATCCTGCCCAGGATCGGGAGGTATATTCTATTCTGATGTCTAATGTCTCTCTAGCTTCCTCAGTCTGGAGCAGTTCTTCAGTCTTTTTTGGCTTTTACTACCTTAACCCTTTATTCCAGTCACACTGGTCTCCATGCCACAGGGCCCTTGTTCTTGCTGTTCTGTCTGGAATGATCCTCTCTCATATATCCCCACGATGAACTTCATTTCTTCAAGTCTTTACTCAAAAATCACCTTTCTAGTGAGGCCTTCCTTGACTTGAGTTAAAATATCTACACCTTCTGTTTGGTTTTTTTTTAAGATTATATTTATTTTTAGAGTGAAGGGAAGGCAGGGAGAAAGAGAGGGAGAGAGGCATCAATGGGTGGTTGCTCTCACGTGCCCCTACCTGGGGACCCAGTCCGCAACCCAGGCATGTGCCCTGACTGGGAATCAAACTAGCGACCCTTTGGTTCACAGGCTGGCACTCAATTCCTGAACCACACCAGCCAGGGTTCTACACCCCCTGTTGACATCTCCTATCTCCCTTCTCTGCTTTTTCTCTCCAGGGCTTATCATTATCTAACATGCTATGTATTTAATTCGTTTCTCTCTTGTTACTATCTGCCTTACTCATTCGAGTATAAATTCCAGAAAGGCATGGATGTTCCCATTTTAGTCACTGTTTCCTGTCTCTACAGCAGAGTCTGGGAATATAAAGGCTTAGCAAGTATTTGTTAAATGAGTAAATAAACAAACCCTTAGACAAAGCACATGGTTACTGACCTGAAAGTAATGTTATAAACACTGGCAGTGTAGAAATAGGATAGTTGAGAGAAGCTGGGAGACAGAAGTGGACGAGGAGAGGTAAAAGGAAGAAAAGAAGGTTGTTGCTTTTCTTTGTAAGTCCTTCTCTACCATTTCACTTTTAAACCATGCCCGATATGTTAATTTAATAACATTTCAAAAATTTAAATCCATTCAACTATATGTAAAACATTTTTATTTTGCGACAATCTGTGTCATAAGTGTCACTCACAATGACACTTACATTAGGAAGGCAATGGTTGCTATAACGCCACAGGCATGGTATGAATGGTTGAAATCTTCCATAGTGGGATAAATGACAGCTGCATCTATGATAATCCACCAGCCTGTAAAAAACTAAAACAAACAAACAAACAAACAAACAAGCAAAAAAGGTGACGCCAAGGAGAAATTTCATGTATTGATTTCACATATTACTGACTAAAAAGAAAGCCAGATACCAAAGAGATGCCTTCTAATAAATTTCCAAGTTTTCTTGAATGTTCTAGCAATTTCTTTTTAAGATTTTATTTATCTATTTTTAGAGAGAGGTGAAGGAAAAGAGTTAAGAGAGAAACATCGTTATGTTAGAGAAACAGTTGCTTCTCACACGCCCCCAACAGGGAACCTGGCCGGCAACCCAGGCATGTGCCCTGACTGGGAATCAAACCAGCAGCCTTTCAGTGCACAGGCCAGTGCTGCTCAATCCACTGCTCAATCCACTGTGCCACAGCAGCCAGGGCCTGTTCTAGCAATTTCTTACATGTAATTGGTATATGACTTAATATATAATTAAATATTATATACCCTTAAGTCTGACAGCAGTGAAAATTTATTAGCATGATCTTACTTTCTAAGTCAACTTTAGTCATCATTTTATTTTTTCATAATAAAGTCTGCAATCTGAATTTTGTGACCTAGAAGTAAGTTACAATGTCTCATGGCAGGAAAAAGAAAAAAAGGATTCAGATTCCAAATGACAAAAAGAGTGGCCTGCTGCTGATAAGCCTCCAGGAAGATATACTTATTGAAAAAAAAAACAAATTCAAAGTAACAGAGAGAGTAACTGTTGCTGATGGAAGCTGAGCTGTTCCCTTGATGCTGCGAGTGAGGAAAGGCTGCAGCTCTGCTCTTCCTTCTGGTTAGTTACAGTGCAGCCTACCGATGGCTTCAGGTGCGATGCCGAATTCAACTTAACACCAACGTATCATTTATCTTAATTGAATTTTGGTCATGGAGATTATCAAGGGCAAATATATTATGAAAAACATTAAAAGTGCACAAATGTTTTTTCATCATCTGAGCAAAAACTTATAAAATATTAACCCAATACTGACAAGTAGCTTAGGAGGTTGTGAAAGTAACCCCTTTCCCTGCCCCCACTCCCAGTCCTGACCCAGCTGCTTCTGGAAATGCCATCTTCTGACAATTACTTTAAAATAACGATTTTAGACTGATCGAGTTATTTTTATCAGGTTACAGACAGATCCATAATTCTATTAATGACATTTTTACTGGTTAACACAAGTACCCTTTTAATATATTCAAGATATTTATTTTCTTTGTAGACGAAAGTTCAAAGCTTTTTTTGTTTTATGTTTATAAGACCAGAATTCTATAGCAGTTTTATATTTGACGACTACTTGGGGATAATATAGGATAATAATTTTCATAGATTATAAGTATCAGGCAACAGGGAAAGAACAGATATTTAAACTTAGATTTTTGTTTGTTTACTTAAAATTCACCTGGAGCATATTACAATATAGTATCATAAAATACAAATATCAGGTGCCTTGAGGGATCTGCATGTAAACAATTTTATATTGTAAGTCACTTCTAAGCAGTATTTTTAAATGAGTTTTCTGTTATTTTTTTTTTAATAATGAGACTAAGAAAGTTAGCCCGATTATGGAGAGATGCAATCATATCTCAATTAATTTGACCTGTTTCTAAAACACTTCCTGGTAACTTAATTTACTCATTAAGAGGAGGCATAATCCATATAATGAGTAAACGTATAAAATACACACTGTCTTACCCTGGCTGGTGTGGCTCAGTGGATTGAGTGCCAGCCTGTAAACCAAACAGTCGCCAGTTCAATTCCCAGTCAGGGCACATGCCTGGGTTGGGGGCTAGATTCCCCAATTAGGGGCGCGCAAGAGGCAATCAAGGCAACCCACTGATGTATCTCTCACACATGTATGTTTCTCTCCCTCCCTTCCCCTCTCCCTAAAATGCAAATAAATAACCCTTCCGGCAGTGAGGACCTCCCCACCACAACATGCCAAAGGATCTCCTTCATCCCTCTCCAGAAGAGGAGGAGAGGAGACACAAGAAGCAGCGCCTGGTGCAGAGCCCCAGTTCCTACTTCCCGGATGTGAAATGCCCGGGAGGCTATAAAATCACCGCCGTCTTCAGCCAAGCACAAACGGAAGTTCTGCGTGTTGGCTACTCCACTGTCCTCTGTCGGCCTGCAGGGGGAAGAGCCAGCCTGACAGAAGAAAATTCCTTCCAGCACTAAAAGTACCCTGAATCAAGACGCGTGGGGAACCATCCCAACAAGCACATCTTGGATAAAATAAATAATATCTAAAAATAATAATGAAAGAAAATACACTGTCTTTTATTATACCACGCAGTTAAAGAAAGTCAATTGATCTACTAATCAAATTTCAAACCATGATTTCCACTAAGAGTTGGAGTGAAATGAGTAACTCTCATAAACAAAACAGAGTGACGACATTTATTAAAATAAAGTCAGTGGTCAAAGATAAAATACATAGCACAGACTTTATAGCATCATGCAGAATTTAAAACATAAAACCAAACCCACCAAAAGAACGACGGCCCGAAGGCCCGAGGACACTTACGAGGACGCCCGCGGCAATGGAAGCAATGGTGTTGCGTTTTTCCCCCCAGTCAATGCATTCCGAGCACCTCAGCCCTTCCAGAAATCCAGACATTTTCTTCAGGTCACTTCAAACAAACAAACAAACAAATATTCTATTTACTTGCTTCAAACCTGACTTATATTCTTAGAAAATAATAAACAGTGCAGAAATAATTTAGTAAAAGTTAAATTACAAATATAGTTGACCCTTGAACACAGGGGGGTTTAGGGATACCAACCCCTCCCCCGCCGCCACACACACACACACACACACACACACACACACACACACACACACACACACACACAGTTGAAAATCCAAGGATAACTTTTTGACTCTCTAAAAACTGAACTACAATCCCTCAGTATCCACAGGGTAATGGTTCCAGGACCTCTACAGATACCAAAATCCCAGGATGCTCAAGTCCCCATATATGATAGTGTGGAACAATGCATACAGTTGGTCCCTTGCATCTGTGGATTCCTAGGATGGGAAACCGGGGATGCAGAGAGCTGTATATTTATTGAAAAAAGTCCATCTATAAGTGGACCTGCACAATTCACACCATGTTGTACAAAGGTCAACTGTACTATATAGTCTGGCTACGTATACTTCTTCAGAATATCTGAGTTAGCTTTTGATAAATTTCCACATTATAAATTTGGAAAATAAAACTAGGATTCATTCAGTATTTTCAGTATTCTCCCTTCTTTTTTCCATTCAGTATTTTTCTTAATTTAAAAGATGGTTTTGGCTTGCATTTTGAGTTAGCTTTTGATAAATTTCCACATTATAAATTTGGAAAATAAAACTAGGATTCATTCAGTATTTTCAGTATTCTCCCTTCTTTTTTCCATTCAGTATTTTTCTTAATTTAAAAGATGGTTTTGGCTTGCATTTATAAAATAAGAAGTCCTGGGGGTGTAACACACAGCATCATGACTACAGTGAATCCTGTACTGTATTATTTGAAAGTTATTAAGAGGGTAGATCTTGGAAGTTCTCATCACAAGAAAAAAACTTTGTAACTATGTGTAGTGACGGAAGTCAACTAGACTTACTGTGGCGATCACTTTGCAATGTATAAGCATATCCAACCATTATGTTGTACATCAAGAACTATGAAGATTATATGCCAATTACATATCAATAAAAAATAAGAAATGGTTTTGGTATAGTTAATATGTACAAATGTGGATGTCCATCCACATTTAACATTTTTATAATGATTATTAATTTTATCCTAAACCAAATTATTGTATGATTTTGATATTTACAATCCAGAAGCACTAACAGTGGAGAGACAAATGATAAACTTTGGCTTGAGTTCAAGTATGCAGTCAGGTGAAAAATATTTGTTAGGAATTTATACATTTTATTTGAGAACATGTTTCTTCACAGTCAGATTAAGAAATTAAATACCTGCCCTAGCTGGCGTGGCTCAGTGGATTGAGTGCCGGCACGCCAAGCAAAGGGCTGGCGGTTAGATCCCCAGTCAGGGCACATGTCTGGGTTTTGGACTAGGTCTCCAGTAGGGGGCGCATGAGAGACAACCACACACCAATGTTTTCCTCTCTCCCTCCCTACCCCTCTCTAAAAATGAATAAATAAAGTCTTTTAAAAAATTAAATACTGTACTGCAGGTCTTCTACACACATCACTTCATTATTTTTTCCTTCTCCAAGCCTGGTTTTTGGAGTAATTTCTACAAAAAGAACACCCATTTCCTTTTAATATCTCCATCTCTGATTCTCACAGATGCTTTTCGGCCAAAAGATAGTACGAAATTGAAATTAATATTAATTCAGACCAAAAAGAATACACTGCTAAATGACCATAGCTGACCTAAAATGTCTTTTAACAAATTACATAAAACATTCCTCCGAGCTGAGCTGTACAGACCTGGCTTGAGACACAGCCACAGTATCTATTTCAGAGTATGAAAAAGCCAGAGTTACGTAAAACTTGCTAATAATCTAGGAACACCCAAACTCCTCGGGCGAATCTGAACCCGTCCATTAAACTACTCTGTAGCCTGCAATCATGACCATCTAAAAACATGATATCCTAAAAAGGAGCAATGGAACCTACTGTAACGACCTTATTTAAGATTAAATATTCAAAACTGTGATACAACCAGTGCTGATTTGCCTTTTAGAACGCATTTTATTCTCCCCTGGAAGGAGCAGCACGCCAGTATGTACTACTTTCGGTTCTTCCCAAGGACCCCGCCTCGAATCCATTTTCCTTCGCTCGGCACGCTCGCCCAAACCCCGCCCCCCAGACCTTAGAGATTTTAGGTGTAGAGAGAGGAATGGGACTTGGAAGACCTGGAAACTAGCTCTCTCTAGCTCGCAGTGTGAACCAGCCGGGTCTCAGTTTCTCCAGCTGTAAAGTAAGGGAAGCAATGTGATTTTCAGGGATCCTGGGAGTCCCGGGGAAGGGCGCGGTCCGGCAGCCTGGCAGAGTCCGGACGCGGTTGCTCTCTCCCATCGCCGGCCGGACCAGGTCCGGAGAAAGTAGCCAGGGACGGTCCAACAAGGCAAAGCCCCAGTACGCAGCTTCCCAGAGGTGGAGGCAACTACCCAGTCAGCATCAGCAGGGCGCAGAGCCCTGGGTCCGTGCACTATCCGGCCTGCGGGGGTTCCTCCCTTTCCCCCACGCCCGCCTGGCACTTACGTCCAGCCCTGGCCGTGCAGTCGGTCCGGAGCCCCGTGTCGCGCCGCGCGGGGCCTCCTCACTCTCCCAGTTTTAGCCAAAAAAAACAAAGCCACCGCAGATACAGGCCGTCAGACACCCGGATGTAGCAGTACCGCCCCCGAGGCTAGGTTGCGCAAGCGGAGACAGCGACTGAGGGAGTGGCGTGAGTGTAGGAGGAGAAAGGGCGGAGGTGGGGCCAGAGGGAGCCACGCCCACTACATGAATGCCTCTGCGCACGCTCTGGAGTAGGCAACAGGGGCTTTGCTAAGCGCTGAGTGCCTAGGAAAAATAATTTGAGTACACTTTAGAGAGTGATGGCAGAAGTAGCTCTTTGTCCTAAGGTTTCGAAAGGGAGATGCGTGTTGGGCCTTTATGTCGGTCTTGAGTGAGGTGGTAAGTTTTCTAATGCTGGGGTCAGTCCGGCAATTATCTCAGGTGTAGGTGGCAGGAGAAGTGCAGGGTCCCGCGTGGTGCAAAATGTGGGTCCAGGTTCGCGGCTCCACAGCGCTATTGAAGGTTTTTAAGTCCTACGTTCTCAGAACCTGGCTCCTTGCTCACTGTAGCTCCCCCTCCAAGAGGCGCTAATTTCAGAGTGAAATTTTGTGAATTTAACTTTGTGAATATTGTGACCGTGTTTTTTAAGTCACTCCCGCGAGGTGGGGACGCCCTGGTTCAGGTACTGTGCGTCCCTAACCCCTGTGCCGTGACCTATTTATGGGATTTGACTTGTGTGTGTGTGTCCCTTTGCTTTAAAGGCAGGGTTTCTCAGCTTAGGCACTACCAACAATTTGGGACAAATAAGCCTGTGGGGGCTGTCTGTGCACTGTAGGTATGTGTCTGCATCCCCGGCCTCTGCTCACTTGATGCCAGTATCATTCCCACAGTTGTGACAACCAAGAATGTCTGCAGACTTTGCCAGTGTCACACACTCTCACACACACACACACACACACACACACGCCGGAAACTTGTCAGGGTCAGAAGCACTATTTAAGAGATAATGGGGGCTTGGGGGAAGTGACCCTGTTTTAAAAACGGAAGCAATGATGGCTTAGATATGTGAAGGACTTGTGGCCGCCTGGCGCCCTTGAGAAGCTCTCAGTCCAGTTCTAGTGTCTATTCTTGGGGGCCATCATGGAGTCGGAACTGGTCTCGTTCCAAATGGCACCACCAGAGAAAGCCCAGGCCGCCACTTGCAGTCTTAATCGCCGAGCCGGTGGTGATTCCACGGCAGGTCTGGATCTCGGGGAAGGTACTACAGAAGGGCCTACGTGATCACGTGGGGGTGACAGTACTAAGGCTTTAACCCCACGGTGTATGGGAAAGAATGCAACAGTCGGAGGGAGAGATGCTGAAAGAGGTCGAGAAGCAGAGAAGGTGGGTCGGTCTTTTGTCGTTAAGAGAGGCATGCAGATTCACCTTTTTTACATGGAAGGAGACAGTATACTGTACAAGTAAACTAGGGAGCCAACGTTGTTGGGTCCTTTAATTTCCTTAGAAACATGAAATCTCTGGAGCGTTGGGATTTGGGGGCAGGAGCATTAACTGACTAGAAGACAAAACTGTATATAATATGATCCGTAGCATATTTCTAAATGGACATCATTCTAACCCCTCAGCGATTCATTGTGACTGTTAAGTGACTCAGGATGGGAGAATCCAATGCAGGAAATTCTTATCGGACCCTTTTTTTAATGTAGATTAATGACTTAACATTAGTTTAGCAGCTCTGAGCAGCATTTAACAAATCTTACTTTCCAATTATAATAAGTTAACTAGTGACTGTGAGAGGAACAGTATCAGCTTTTCCTGTTTTCCGTCTCCACTCTACACTTACTTGTATTAACATGATTGTAAAGTGGGCATCTTTACATTGCTATTATAATAAAGCACATGCTTAATTTGTCATTGTTATCTTGTTTGGAATATGCTATAGAATTAGCAAGTGTTTGCTTTTGCACTTTGTGGATAAAATGGAGCAATTAGAAATAACGAAAGCCAGCACACCTAGATCGTTAGGAAGAGCCGATCTTGACTTGCCAGCTGGTCCCAGCACTGTCCCCGCAGCTCAAGAAAGAAACCGTGGAACAGCTGTACGGAATGCTGCAATGTTTGAGGTAAGCCAGATTTACCCAAACAAAACTTCCAGAGAAACTACTGCCAGAAAGATCTGGTTGACCATTTTTATTTGATTTATCTTTGGCTACTTTTCTTAGAAAGTCCAGCAAAATATAATTGCTAAAGTCAAAATAGCAGATCTGAAA